GGAAAGGTTAAAGGATCTTAACATGTATAGCTTGGAGGAAAGACGAGACAGGGGGGATATGATAGAAACATTTAAATATATAAAGGGAATCAACACAGTAAAGGAGGAGACTATATTTAAAAGAAGAAAAACTACCACAACAAGAGGACATAGTCTTAAATTAGAGGGACAAAGGTTTAAAAATAATATCAGGAAGTATTACTTTACTGAGAGGGTAGTGGGTGCATGGAATAGCCTTCCAGCTGAAGTGGTAGAGGTTAACACAGTAAAGGAGTTTAAGCATGCGTGGGATAGGCATAAGGCTATCCTAACTATAAGATAAGACTAGGGAGTAATGAAAGTATTTAGAAAATTGGGCAGACTAGATGGGCCGAATGGTTCTTATCTGCCGTCACATTCTATGTTTCTATGTTTCTATGTTTCTATAAGTTAAAACAAAATGAAAACACTGTGCAGCTAGAAATGTACTCACAAAATAGATTGTGATATAATCACCTTTGGGTGCCTACCCTTGGATATTTGGTGGGCTATCCAAGGATCTCTTCCTGCTTCTGCTCCCTCTTGTAGGTACCACATCAGGGATAGCTCTCTCAGACATAGGGTAGTTGTAAAAAATTTTGCTTTACTCAATCAAAACATAAATCAAAATAAATGTTTACAAAAATATACACACAAACAAAATAGGTCCTACATGTTTCAACCCAACATGGGACTTCTTCAGGGACCACAAAGAATGTATATAATAAAAATAACTTTAAAACTACCCTAAGGAAATAGTAACTGTGACGAAGTGCCCTTCGCCACTTGGTCCTGGAGAGACTTGCTTGCCAGCCTCCTCCCCTTTGACTATGACTCTTTGATGTATTTGGCTTTAAAGCCCCTATTGTACCTTCAGACAGACTATTTATGTAGGTTGCTTTATTTCTCTTATGTTTTAGTCACCCTGCACCCATTATAGGTGCAGGGTGTGTGTAATGTAATTGTTTATGTTGTGTGTGTGTACTGTGTAATGTATTGCCTGCTCTCCTGTACTGCTGAGGTTTGCTACCGACTAGGTGGATTTGGCTATGGAGCTTGTCTAGTGCCCTCTGTTGGTAGCAACAGCAATATGCACTACCTGAATAGCAAGACTGGTTCATTTGCATATTTGGGTAGATTTGCATATTGCTAATTCTGCAGGCAGGTGAGATATTTTCTGTTAAATATTGTCTCCCCCACCCCTTTAAAAATATGCCATTGTGTTATAATAAGTCACTGTATGTTGCCTGCTATGATTTGGCTGTTTGTAATTTATTGAGTTTTCACCACATTGTTAAATAAAGGTTTAGACAGTTCTTCTTGATTCCTCTAAACGTAGCCTTGTCTCGTTATTGGAGGGAGTTGTTATAATCACACTGGGGATTGCTATGCTCTGCATGCTCCCCTGAGCTTGAATCACTTAGCTCTTATAAGAGCTTGTTCCTGACACGCTCTCCTTGGAGGAGGGATCTTCCCGCACAGTCCTGGATGCTGGAGGTTCTTACAGGGTGGAAGGAAGAGGTCTTTCCCACACGGTCCTGGAGGACAGAAGCTGATCCAGGGTGGAAGGAAGACGGCAAGACTCCAGTCAAGCTACAGCGGTTGCGGAGTCTGCGGTGGTTGTGGTGTCCGGTGTGGTGCTTGTGGACCTCGGCGCAAGCTAGGAAGCGTCCATCAACGGAGGGTACTCGGTCGGAGTACGGGGAGCTCCGTTACAGTAACATTAAAGAAAGATCCTGCACAGTGTTTTAATTTATTTAACTTTATTACACCATGTTATCTTAATTTTCAGTGAGCTGTATTCCCATTGTATTATATATTTTTGCAATGCTTTGGTATATCTGCTGCAAGATCTTTGCCAAAGAGAACCTAAAATTCCCTTGTACATTTGGTTCATTGTTATCCATTTCAGGGGATATTTATTTTATATTGTCGCATCTAATCTTCTTATCTTACTCTTATGGGTTTCTTGATACACTGATGCGCAGTTGGAGATGTGGCCATACTAGAAAGTTAGTCTTTTTACTGCTGAATCAAGAAGCTCATCTTGAGAACTGTTTGTATTGTTTGTCAATTACTTGTTGCTAAATAACCCCAGTGTATGTAAAGCTTTGTGGAAATGATGGCACAAAAAAAATGCTAATAATAATAAAATAATAACAAAAAAAATAGGCTGCATTAGAAACATACTTGGTCTTAAACAGTCAGGATTACTAGTTGTTCCAGCATGCAGAATAATATGATACTTAGGACTAAGGATAATGTTTAACCGGACCTTAGAATGTCCGGGCTTAACGTATCCAAGAATAGTCAGAATACTTGCCAAGGGGAGGAATACAGAATGAGACACAACAATGAGGGAAAGCCAAAAGTCAAGGATACCAGAAATCAAAGAAGACGAAACAAAGCCACAGTCAAAAACCAGAAGTATATACGATCAGGAACACACTCTCGGATAACCAGCAAAGGGAAACCATGACAGGGCAATGCGTAAAAGGAAACATTAGTTTAAATAACCCTACTGCAGATCCGATTGGCCGTAACTGGCCTTTGACGCCGTCATTACCGTGGGCGGATGTGGGGCTACAATATGGCATGGATCTGTAGCAGCCGACGTCCACCGACATGCTGCAGATGTCAGGCACACTGACACAGGACTGCTGAGCGGCACCTCCATTACTGCCAGAAAGGCATTTTCCACCACAAATACCATAAGGTGAGGATGTATACGTGACATTACCCCCTACCTGAAGACCACCTACCGGGTGGGCAGGACCAGGTTTGAGAGAAAACTTGGTGTGGAAAGAACAAATCTAGTGGCCAGCATGTATGTCAGAAGCCAGAACCCAAGAATGATTGGCAAGCCCATTCCCCCTCCAATCAACTAAATACTGTAGGGAACCACGAGAAAACCTGGAATTAATTATGGAGGAGACTTTGTACTCCTCCAGACCAAAGGAGGAGGGGGAATAACAGGGACTGTATACATATCGCAAATAAGCGGTTTGAGTAAGGAGACATGAAATGAATTAGGTATACACAAGGATCCTGGAAGAGCCAGTGAATAAGAAACAGGGTTAATTCTCCTAACAATACAAAGAGGACCAAGAAATCTGTGAGCAAACTTCATGCTAGGAACTTTTAGTTTGACGTTGCGTGAGGATAACCACACCCTCTCACCCACCTGGTAAACGGGGTTGGCACCCCGCCATTTATCAGCATGAAATTTGAAACGAGCAGCCGCAGTCTCAAGAGCGGAGTGAACTTTAGTCCAAGTCTCACGAGTAGAAGTAAGGTGATCATCCAGAGCAGGGATAGCTGTGTCAGAGAATACAGCAGGTAAAACATTAGGATGACGATTGTTATTGACCAAGAATGGACTATGTTCAGACGAGTCATGGGTAGCATTGTTCCTGGCAAACTCGGCCCAGGGCAGCAATTCAGACCAGCAATTGTGCTATTCACAAAACAACATAAATACAGTTCCAACGATTAGTTAGCCCTCTCAAACGCACCATTGGTTTGGGGATGGTAAGAAGAAGAGACTGATAATTCAATACCCAACTGTTTATTGAAAGCTCTCTAAAATCGTGACACAAACTGGGAACCCCTGTCAGATACAGTATTTTGAGGAATACCATGTAGTCTGACAATGTCACATATAAATATATGAACCAGATCTTGGGAAGATGGCAATTTTTTGAGTGGAATAAAATGAGCCATCTTGGAAAAGCAGTCAACCACCACAAGGATGGTGGTATAACCATTAGAACTTGGAAGTTCAACGACGAAGTCCATGGACAAGTGGGTACAGGAAGTGGATGTAACAATCCACATGGATGTTTATGAGGAACCTTAGAAACTGCACATGCAGAACAGGCCTCCACATATTCTTTGATATTTTTCCTGAGTGAATCCTACCAAAAATGATCTTGAGACAGCAGATATGGTCTTATTAATACCGGGATGCCCAGCCGTCACATCGTTGTGGAATATCCTCATCACCGCCTCTCTTTTAAGCAATGGAATAAACAATTTATCTAGAGGTTTTTTTCAAGGTGCCTGGGATTGAGCCGCCATTATAGCACAAAGCAGAAGGGATGACAAGGAAAGAATATTGGAAGCAATGATACACTCAGGTGGAACAATAAGGGATGTCTCTTGTTCTGATTCAATGTCAAATTGCCTAGATAAGGTGTCAGCTTTAACATTCTTGGGACCAGCTCTGTAAGTGATAATACTGTTAAAGCGAGATAAGAACAAAGACCATCTAGCCATTTAGCATCACCTATAAATACCAAATTTTTGTGATCAG